GGACATTTGTTCAATTATTTCCCATTAGTGAGTTGAGCAGACTTGCAGAACTGCATGTTCTTCTGACCTGGTTAAAACTTCTGTGCCCCACAATTAGATCATCTTCAAGGGTCAGCTCCTTCCCTGGCTCAGCCTGGGGTTCCAGTCTTCCAACTTTTGCTCTAGCAAAGGAGTTGTTGGGAAATGTTACCAAGTTTGTAACATCAAAACCTGTCACCAATTCTCCATTTTCATCAAAACCCACAAGGTCTCCAGCACTGTTGTTGAACATGAGTTTTGGTAGGATATCATGTAACTGAGTTAAAGAGAGTAAAAGAAGCAAGAAAGGAAGGTACAATAGAGTGCTGAAATCTCTACAAGGAATTCCATGTGAGCCTCATTAATCACTATACATACTGCTATTAGGACTGGCTTTGCCACAAGACATGCTGAGTGCCACAGCTGGCAGAAGGGCTCCAAAACCCTCAAAAGGTCTTCTGCTGCCATTACCAGGCCACAGTCAGCCTTCAGTGTACCACCCCTCTAGGACTTTGCACAACAGATCCTTTCCCATAAAACGGTATTATCAAGGAGATGGCCCTTAAGACCTCTTTTGTGGCAGTTTCTCCATTGAGAGAGAAAATATAGTTTAGAGATACTTCAACCACTCTGAACCACCTCACCTCAGTCCTCTGAAGAAAACAATATCTCCCACAAGTAGCATTCCTGGCCCACTGCTGATGAAACATTGTAAGAGGGGAGAGTTGAAGAGAGGAAGAGCAAGGGCTTAGTCCTCATGCTCTGGGCTCATGGAGACTTGAGATGGTTCTGTACAGCCATGATTCCAATCACAGCAGTAAGGTCTGCATTTTGCTAAGTTGTCTTCCTCCTCCTTTTTATTATAGATAGGTGGCATCATGCGATACTGAAAAACCACCACCACGTCCCTCTGTAATTCTGTGCCATGGTGTATATTCCAAATTTAAGATGGTAACCTTCAGCTACCCAACAGGGTCTTGACAGAAATATCCCACTCCATCTCCCCCAATTGTAACTGTGATAGGATGTTCCATGAAGGCCTCTTATCGCCTGCTTTCCTGCTGTGTGAAGGAAAAGAGGAGGGAGGAACCCTCAAAGTAAAATTAAAAGCTCTAGCAGCACAATCTAAAAAAGCTGTCCCTTCCTGAACCTGGATCTGTACATGACTTGCAAAGTATCTGCCACAGTAAAAGCTTGAAGAGCAGAACTTGACTGAAGAACATGACTAAATGATTTTGCGAGGATTCCTTAAGATTTGGTTTAATAATTTGGGGACAAACGGGTGAATTCTCTGAGTCCTGAAGCCAGTTACTGATAGAGGCTGAGTATATTTGGGGAAATGGCTGCTGCCTTTTCATTTTTCTCCTCTTTTGAGGGGAAGAAAGTTCCACTTCCTTTTCTAGATGCATCTATGGTTAGCTTTGTTGCATAGCAGTGCCTCATTCATATTTGAGTCAGAATGTTCCAGAAAACCTGCTTTGAATTATGTGATAGTTTTCTCCTGATTGTCATTCTTGGGAGGGGTTCACAGGAGAAGGTCAGCATTGTTTGTTCAAATTATTTTTCGCCTTTGCTTGTACCCACCTGCCATGCTTCCACTTTGTGAAGTGCTGAACTCCCTCTTTCTACCCATCTCTTTCTGGATGCGTAGATGGAATGCAAGGCTTATGCCACAATATGCATGGCATTGTAGACATTGTAACTGTGCCCAATCATGCACATTTCAGCCAAAGTGCTAGGAAGGCTCTCCAACTGTTCCTGTCCAGAGGACATTGCCTTTCCTCCCCCATTAACATTTGGGATGTCTACTCGACAACTGAAGACTGGCTCCCAGAAATCCTGATTGAAATTATCTCCTTTTCTCCAGTTAAGCCTTATGGACTTAACGAATCTTTCAAGTCCAGGTGGCTGCTTGGAGTAAACCACAAAGGTTATGGCACCATGGAAATGCTGGATATCCCACCTCTTTTGAATAGAGAGTGATTCAAAATCCCATAGGGATGTTGCAATCCACACGTTCTCCAAGGGTGGCCATGACCAAACTGGTGCTGCCAAGAACATTGTTATCAGACTCTGCCAGCAAGGAGGTTCTCCATGTACAAACCAGGCACTAACTTTTCTTTCCAGGAGAACTGCATAATTTCCTAACACTTCTAAAAGCCAGCCTGCATGCTCATGCAAATAAGTCCGCTCTGGGAATTGAAATATGAAGGCATGGCAGATATCATTCTGGGAAAGCAGTGGGACCATGCTCTGCATGAACATGTCCCATAGTCATCATCCACTGCCAGGAGCCCAATCCATGTCCATCCAAAATGCTGAAGTAAGTGCACAACCCCCAGATACTGATGGGATTCCTTGGGCACCATCTGGTACAAAAAGGGGAATTGTGTTTTCTCACCATGTTCTGGGGAAAAGAACCCATATGTGATCTGAAATCAAATGCATCAAAGTACAGAGATGGACTAGGAGGTAATGTCAACTTCTGTTCCATAGAATTTCCACCATTCCATGGAAAGAGCCTACCTGAGGGATCTTGTACATGGCAAGGATGATGGCCAAAATTTGAGAGGCTTCAGTCACAAGTCCCCCAATGACAGCAGCTATTTTTTTTCTGAGCACCACACCTGAAATTGGGGACCAATCTGTGGTATGTGGAAAGGAGACCCTTGGAGGCCTTATATGTCATCCTTGCTATTGAGTAGCCACTGAGAATGTGGAAGCCAAGAGTGAGGTTTGGCAGGATTCGGGGATTCCCATTGATCTCATCTACAGCAAAGGACAAGGCCAGGATGTGCTGGTACATCTTTGGCACAGAACTGCAATGAGAATGATTCAACCCTAAGTTATTGAGTGTGAAATATGGGAAGGCAAGCATTCTGCGGTATCCATCTGTATAAATAGAATTGCTTGTCTCAATCATTAAACTTTCCCGTTCTTTTTATATCTATGCCAATTAGCCCCTTAGTTATATGTTCTTTCCCCATAAACAAATAATGAATTTGGATATTTCCAAACAATTGATATTTTCCCCTAATATACCCTTTCTGTTTGCCTCTTGAGAGAAGACATGCTACAGAAATTAAAGGGAAGCAAACAAGCCAATGGATAATGTTGGTTTCATAGGGTTTGCCATTAAGATGAGGTTTGTTAAGATGGAGTGCCAATAATGGTATTATATCAGAGCTTGATCAAGGATGGCCATTTACGAGAGGAGGAGGCGGCAGTGGCGGCAGAGGCAATGCTTCTCCAAACTCATTCACATTCTCACATATATTAAATAGGAAGTGTTTTCACCAACATGCTTCTGTGCTCTTCCTTCTGATTCTCATTCATAAATTTACAAACCTATCCTATACCCTCAGTGTGGATGAGAAATACTCTTCCCTACAATCTGCACTCCTTCCCCTGAATTGCCTCATCTGTTCCTAGGCAGAGCTGTGTGCTGAGTTTTATTTTGTTTAGTCTTTGCCTTGATAGTGCTGGGAAACTATCGCTCTCTCAGTGGCTGGGAGGTTCATTAGACTAAATGGAATCCAAGTCCTGTTCAACAAATAGCCAGAGAAGTTTTGGTATAGATTCAATGCACTGACATTATTTGCCTTCTCTCTTTTTTTTTTTTTTTTGTGAGAAGCAGGCATATTCTAGCAAAAGGGAAATATTTTAAAGAGCAAGTAATTAAGTGAAGAAATATGGATAATCACAGCAGAAATAGAAATACACAATCTAGTTCAGATAAACTGATTCATCTACACAGTTATTAAGGGTGCTGTGGTGATGCCTATGTAAGTTTTGACTTCGTGTCAAAGCATAGATATCCCTTTGCAATACAACAGGACAGTGTCTAGAACATCCCAATAATGAGCTCAGGGCCCCAGGTGGAATTCATCAACAAGGGGATGTGTCTGTCCTTGGGAATCTTTGGACCGTTAGATGATTTCCTCACCTCCCTCAGCCCTGTCCAGGTGCCAGCTGGGCCGTGAAGCTGTCCCTGTGCTCTGCATGCCTCAAGGACTTAACCCTTTCTTCCCTCCTCAAGACACAGCACCCTCCTTGCTACAACCAATAAAGCATGTGAATAGCCTTCCTGTGTGGACAAAATTGGGGTTCCTTTAGGGACATTTCACTGGCAGATCAGGGATGTGATACCCAGGGAGGATATGGAAGGGGCATCAGCTCCTTTCCCACCAAAGCTGTGTGCCCCTGAAGTATTCTATAGAAAGGGAAATGATGCTCCAACAGCTAAATTGACCACAGTGAGAAATGCCGCCCCACTACAATTTACTAGCTTAGGAAGAGTGTAATGGAGCAAGTGTTGTTTCTCACAGGAAACCTTCATGTCATTGCAGTATCCGGGCACATTCAATCTTCTGAGATAGCAAAGCTGCAGAGCACCCTTTGTCAGTGTCCATGGGCGGTAACACAACCACCACCTTTGTATTCTAATGCTACTTAAGTATTAAAGGCGAGAATACACATTGAAGACTGGATGATACGTGGAGAGGTATATAGCCCTGTTCCAATGCTCTTTTACCACTTCTGAAAAACTAAACCAGCAAGTTTGTATAAAAGACTCCATCCAATGGATAGTGCAAAAAAGAGAATAGTGTTAATTCTTGTTTCCCCCCAAAAAAGGTTGATGAAACAAACATGCAGACACTGGTGAAAACCCAGTCACCTCTGAATGGAAATGCACAAGAATCACAGAGAATTTCTCACATTCATAAATAAAATACAACATGGAGTTCAAAATATTGCATTCCACAGACCGAATGAATAAAGGTACTGTTGCATAAAAGAGAGTGAAATTGACAAAACTAAACACTGTCTAAGTCAGTTTAATTGTTCTAGCCTCATTTCAGGGACCTTATCATGTCGAGCTTTTCAGCATAATAATCAGGGCCCTGCACTCAGCTGAGATGCCAAAAGAATTGTGTATTAGAGTAGACAAGGAGATTGTCCCAGGTCTACATTTTTTGCTTTTACATTCTCATCAGATGTCCCTTGTCATTTAATGCAGGCCTCATTAAAATGATATAGCATTTGAAAGGAAAAATGGAAAGCAATAGGCCAGCACTGGAGGCTAAGATGGAGAAGATCTCCACAGATACCAGGTGTTTTCCTTCAGAGCTCAGGTAGGTTGGAACAAAGGAGAACCACACACTGCAGAAGATCACCATGCTGAATGTGATAAATTTGGTTTCGTTGAAAGTGTCCGGCAACTTCCTGGCTAGGAAAGCCGCTGTGAAACTGGCAATGGCCAGCAAGCCCATGTAGCCCAAGACACAGTAAAACATCACAGCTGAGCCCTCATTGCATTCCAGGATGATTTGGTCTTTTGCTGAGTGCCGATTCATATCTGGGAAGGGATGGGAAGTACTTAGCCAAAGTGTGCAAATGACTGCCTGCACAGAAGAGCAAGAGAGAACAAGAGAAATTGCTAATCTTTTCCCCACCCATTTCCTCATTCTTGACCCAGGTTTTGTTGCCATGAATGCCAGGACCACAGTTGTGGTTTTTGCCAAGAGAGAGGAAAGGGCCACAGAGAAGATGGTGCCAAAGGCAGTTTGTCGGATGAGGCAGGCAACCTCTTCAGGCTTTCCAATGAAGAGCAAGGAGGAGAGGAAGCAAAGCAGGAGGGAGATGAGGAGGATGTAGGTAAGGCCCCGGTTGTTGGCTTTGACAATGGGTGTGTTCTTGTGTTTGAGAAAGATCCCCAGGACTGAAGTTGTCATCAAAGAGAAACAAATAGCCAATATCGTAAAGATGATTCCTAAAGGTTCTTTGTATGAGAAGTAGCTCAGAGCACGGGGAATGCATTCATTGTGTTTCATGTTGGGATATTGATCTTCTGGACATTCTACACAGGCATCCATGTCTGAAAAAGAAATGCTGCTCTAAGGTTTCAGGAACTGAAACAATGTATTGGAGGAAAAGGTATCCATATACATATCAAACACTTTTTTGAGTTTATATGGATCTGGTGTAAATATCAGCTAAGAATTTCAGTACTTGCCCTCAAAGTGGATGATTAAGATCTCATTGCATGCATTCTCTCTTCCTGGTGTTTGCATGCATCTGCCCGTCTGCTCCTTTCATATGCGATGTGGAAGGGTCCTTCTTATCTACCATTGAGATAATTTGTCAGGTTCACTGGGGTGATTTATAGTGAACTTCAGAAATGTACATAAAGGGCAATGGAGAGATGTTGGGAGGCCCAGTGTGGGCCATATTGTCTAGATCCTTTAAACCTAATGCCCTGCCTTGGTAATTGTTCTCAGCTGGGAGGTAGGTATTTGCTTTAGTACTACTGCACTTTTCTGAACAACAGCAGGAGCCTGAAAAGGGCTGTAATCTCTTCAAATCTCTTCAGCATTGTTTGCCAAGAAGGTAAGATCATTGTATCCTGTGCATAAACTGACATTCTCGGAATTTACTCTTCAAAAAAGTATTGCTGAATGCCCTTTTCAGGTCCCTCAACCCCGCAACAGCACAGCAGGCAGCAGTACTTCCAGTCGTCTCTCATGGAAGTGGTAAGTTCAGATTCATATAATACATACAGGATTGAAGTGATTAAAAGTGGTTGCCCTTTGATAAAAATCATACAATCGTACAATAGTAGATTTGGAAGGGGCCATGAAGGCCATCATGTCCAGGCACCTTCTGTTGCAGGACACCAAGTTAAACCACCCCACTCATATGGCCGTCCATTTTCTTTTTGAAGGTCACTAGTGTGGGAGATCACCACCTCCCTAGGCAGCTGGTTACACTGTTGTGTTGCTCTGCCAGTGAGAAAGCTTTTCCTGATCTCCAGCCTGAATCTGGGTTATCTCAACTTGAATTGATTATTCCATGTCATATACTCTGTTATCAGCAAGAAGAGATCTTGACCTACCTCTTTGTGACAGCCCTTGAGGTACTTATAGAGTGATAACTTGTCCTCCCTCCGTCTTCTCTTCTCAAAGCCAAACATGCCCAGTTCTCTCAGTCTCTCCTCAAAGGGCAGTGTTTCCAAATCCTGGATAATTTTTGTTGCCCTCCTCTGGATGCTTTCTAATTTTTCTGTGTCTTTCTTAAATCTCGGTGCCCAAAACTGGTCACCATGTTCCAAGTGAGGTCTACTTTTCTACTAGAGAAAAGTATAGGGGAACAACTACTTCTTGTGATTTGGAAATATACTTCTGTTAACGGATCCCAAAATAGCATTTTCCCTTTTGGCAGCTGCAGCGCATTGTTGGCTCATATTTAGCTTAATGTTCACAAATATTCCAAGATCTTTTTCTTTTTCAGTTCTGTTGAGCCACATATTCCCCACATTGTATTGATGTATTTGGTTTCTTTTTCCTTGGTGGGGAACTGGCACTTGTCCTTACTGAATCTCATTCTGTTGCTTTCAGCCCACTATTCAAGTTTATCAAGATTGCCCTGGATCTTCCCTGTGTTTTCTAGGGTGCTTGCTATTCCACCCAGTTTTGTATCATCTGCAATTTTGATGATGTTTCCTTGTACTTCCTCATCTAAATCACATAATAAAGATGTCAAAGAGCACTGGGCAAAGGACTGAATGGCATGGCACCCCACTCATTACCTCCATCCAATCTGAGAAGGTGCCATTGTTGAGCACTCTTTGTGTCTGAGAGCCAATTTGCAGCCAATTTTGGATCCACCTAATAGTTTTTCCCTCTAGTCATTTTTTCCTAATTTGTTTATCAGAATGTTGTGTGGCACTATGTTGAAAGATTTGCTAAGGTCTAAGTAGATTATGTCCACAGTGTTCCCTTTGTTCCTTTGGGAGGTTATCCAGTCAAAAAATGAGATTAAGTTAGTCTGACAAGATTTGTTTTTGATAAATCTATGTTTGTTTACATTTATCACTGCATTTTCTTTTTAAATAATTTGCTCCAGAATTTTTCCAGGGATTGATGTCAGACAATAGTTCCCAGGTTCATTCCCTGCCCCCTTTTTGAAGATAGGGGCCCTTCTCCATTTGTCTGGCACTTCTGTTTTCCAAGACTTATCGAAGGTAACAACCAGTGGTTTTGAGAGTTCCTCTGCTATCTCTTTCATGGCTCTGGAATGGAGTTCATCAGGCCCTGGAGATTTGAAAATGTTTATTCCATCTAGGTATTCCTTGACCATTTGTCTATGAATCTGGGCAGCCATCTCTCTCACTTTCAGCTTGGAGGTAGATTTCCTTGTGAGAGAAGAAAACCATGCACTTCTGCCTTTTCCTTCTCATCGGTCAGCATTCTGCAATACACTTTAAGTGGCTGTACACTCTCCTCTTTCTTTCTCATGACTTTTGTTCTGGATGTACCTGAAGAAGGCTTTCCTGTTTCTCTTGGCATCCCTTGCTATTCTCAGTTCATTTCCTGCTTTAGCTTTCCTGGTGCTATTCCTACAATTCCTTGCTATTTGTTTAATTCTTCCTTCATGGCCTGGCCCTGCTTCCACTTCCTGTACATGTTCATTTTTCTTTCAGGCTTTCACTTAAGTTTTTGTGGAGTCACATAGGTTTCCTCTGCTGTCTTCTACACTTTTTCTTGTTGGAATTGTTCATAGTTGTGCTTTGAGAATCTTCTTTTTCAAGATTCCCCACCTCTCTGGAATCACCTCTCAAGATTCTTTTTTCCTTAAGGGTGTGTTGCCATGGCACTTCACTTATCCTTTTTCTGAGTTTGTTGAGGTTGGCTTTCTTGAAGTCCTGGATGCCTGTTTTGCTCCAGTTACCCTTTGTCTCCTGTATAATTGAGATTCCAAGTATCACATAGTCACTTTCCCTCAGAGTTCCCATTGTTGTTATATTGTCCACCAGGCCATCCCCATTAGTTAGTATTAAATCGAGGATAACTGATCCTCTCGTTCCTTTTTCTAATTTCTGCTGAAGAAGGTTGTCAGCAACACATGTCAGGAATCTCTTGGAGGGGCTATGCTTGGCAGAATTTGTCCATTTAAATTAAGCCAGATGCTTTCAATGGGGCCACTAAGTCCCTCTTCTTGCATTTCTTTGTATAGGAATCTCACTAAGCAAGCTGAAGGACAAAATAATTTTGTGTGTGGGCATTGATTGCCCACACACAGTCATACATCATAGAGGTCAAGCATAATATTTGGAGGAATAGATTTTTCTTTTTCAGTATAGTTCCAGCCTTCACATCAGTGCATTTACCAATCTCTTTTTAACTGCTCTACAGGGGTCTTACAAGATTTTTTTGACATCTCTCCATGACAGAATATGCATCACTTGCAAAGGTATGTATATGAAACAAGAATACTGATCAGATGAGTCTGGATTTAATTTTTGGCCACTTTGACAAAATATAGCACAAAAAGATTCCTACCCCTCTTGCCAGACATCATCCCTTCTGGGCATGGGGCACAGTCATAGCAGCAAAATCTCTCTCCTTCTCTCTTTTTCCTGACAAAACCAGGAGAACAGTAGTCATTGCATCTGGAAATGGGCACCACCTATACAGGAACACAAAAGGGAGATGGGCATTGTGAAATTAGATCCTACTCTTGTCTCATCTTAATAGAAGTTCTCCCAGCATGGTGTGATGAAAGTGCTTTGTTTACTCTTTGTTATTTGGGTGTAACAGACAGTTTGTACTTCCTTGTAGGACACATATAAAATGCAAAACAGTAATCAGTATTGTAGCTGTTACTGTAGTTCATTACTACTCATGAACAATGACGAGAAGAACTTTGCTTACAAGAACCCCACATGATTGATGTGATCCAAGGTCATGGTGGGTTGGTTTTGTTTTTTGTTTTTTGATTTAGGTAAGAAATAATTTCCTCATCAAAAAATTCAGGAATTATTATTTAGTAAAAGCATTCCCTTTAGAAAAAGAAAGTAAAGAAAAGCAAGTTACCAAATAAAATACAATTTTCAGTGAAGAAGAATCAACTAATAGTATCACTACTTGTTCAGTCAGTGTCAGAAACATTCCTGAATGACCAAAGTGTGATTTATTCTCAGAAATTATACACTTCATACAATAATTCAGGTTTTTTAAAGCTATGTTTAACAATAATAAGAAAGATATGATTCTATTGCAAAAGAATGGAAAGTCTATTCTGCTCAATGGAATTTCAAAATGCCACTGCATTTTTGATATACAAATGTAATAAAATAATTAACAGTTTTTCTCCATTGTTTATTGATCATTTTCAGCTCCAAGTAATGATGGTTTGCAGGAGTTCTTCAGGTATTACTGCTGTACTTAAGTGTCAGCTTCTCTTTTATCATTTAGGCTACAATACCTTTTTACCAGGAATGGCCACCATTCAATGGATCCTGCTTCTGATGAAAGGGATTTAGATGTTCCAGGCCCCCATTATTCTATAATTGCCCATTGCTACATGAGCTCATCCAAGAGCAGGCTGTCCTGGTGGTGATGGCAGAACCGACCATCCTGGAAATGGGAGCATGAGGGAGTCCATCTTGCATACTGGTTTCAGAGCAGGATCTGGGCCTCTCCCATCCAGCCTTCCAAATTAATGCTTGGGAGACTAAATAGACTGAAAATCAGTGTGGTGTGTTTAATGCAAATACTGTAAGAATGAGCAGCAATGAAATGCACCTGGATGTTTTTGAACAGGTTGATTCAGCTTTTCTTAAACTTGTTTGTAGTGTGAATTCCTATATCAAAAAAATCCCCCACACACCCCAAACTAAATTTTAAATAATACATTTCTGTTTTGTTAAATAAGAATGAAGTGATTCTATGACAATTCTTTGGGTGAATTTTGGACTAAATTGAGAGCGGACATCTATATGGAGAATTGGGCTGCCTTTGACTCGACTTACATGAACCGAAACAGACACTTCTGCAGGGAAAGGTTTCCTTAGTATCAGACCAGTCTCTAATTGGGGTGGAAATGGAAACTGGGCTAGCTTTGGGCTGTTTCTCTCTTTTGATGCATAACTTGGCCAAAGTTTGTGCTTCAGAGATTTGTTGTGCAATGAAGATGAACTCCTTTACATCTATTTTCTCCCCACCTCCAGCTGCAGTGCTGAGCTATACAGGAATTGCATAACTAACTTGCAGCAATTTAACCCATTCTAGAAATGTGATGCCATAAAGTCGTCATCCAAAAAGTAAAATTAAGTGAAAGAAGAAAAAGGGAGGGGGGAGGGAGAAATGAAGAAAGAAAGGAAAAAAGAAGGAAGGATAGAATGACGGAACGAAGGATGGATGAACATGCGTTGGAGGCTACTACCTCTAGAAAAGAAGGCTGCAAGGTAGTGGAGAAGGGAGCAGAAGACCTGAAAACATCAAGCATTCAGCAATGTCATCCCTGGATACCTTCCTTAGAATAATGGAAAATTTGATGTGACAAACTCCAGTTAGATTTCCACATTTTCTTCTACACAGGGAAAGCACAGGGCATTTATAAGGTGAGGGGATGCCAGTGAGCAGCCAAGTAAGAATGAAACGCACATATCAAGGGACATTTCTTGGAATATTTCCCATATGTGAGTTCAGGGGCTTTGTGCAATTGCATGTTATTCTGACCTGGTTAAAACTTCTGTGCCACATGATTAGATCATCTTCGAGGGTCAGCTCTTTCCCTGGAGGAGCCTGGGGTTCCAGGGTCCCAATCTTTCCTCTAGCAAATGAGTTGTTGGGGAATGTTACCAAGTTTGTAACATCAAAACCTGTCACCAGTTCTCCATTTTCATCAAAACTCACAAGGTCTCCATTACCGTTGTTGAATGTCAGTTTCCGTAGCATACCATGTAACTGAATTTAAGAAAGTAAAAGAAGCAGGAAGAAAAGGTACAACAGAGAGCTGAAATATCTACAAGGAATTTTACAGGAGTCTGATAAATCAACATGAAAACTGCTATTAGGACTGGCCTTTCCTCAAGACAGATTGAATAGCAGGGCTGGCATGATGCTTTCCATACCCTCGAGAGGCCTTCTGCTGCCATTAATAAGCTTCAGTCAGTTTCCTATGTACCACCCCTCTGGGATTTTATGGACCACATCCTTTTGTATAAGGAGGCTTTGTAAAGGAATTGGCCCTGAATACCTCTTGTGTGGCAGGTTCTCCATGGAGAAAGAAAATATAACTTAGGGATACTTCAACCTCTCTGAACCACCTTACTTCCTTCCTCTGAAGAAAACTCCAACTTCTGCAAGTAGCATTCCCTGGGCCACTGCTGAAGAAACATTTTTAAAGCAGGGAGTTGAAGGAGAGCAGAAGCAAGTATTTAGACCTGAAGATTTGAGATGGTTCTGAATATACATGAGTCCAATCACAGCAGTAAGGAATTCATTTTGCTAAGCTGTAACCCTTCTCCTTTTGATTATATATAGGTGGGACCATGTGATAATGAAAAATCACATAATTCTCTGCCATGCTGTGTATTCAAAATCTGAGATCATATCCTTCAGCTACTCAGCAGAGTCTAGACAGAATCTTGCCACTCCTTCTCCCACAATTGTTCCTGTCATAGGATGCTCCATGAAGGCCTTCTATCACCTGCTATCCTGCTGTGCTAAGGAAACCAGGAGGGAGGAACCCCCAAAATGAAATTAAGAGCTCTGGCTACCCAATCTAAAATTACAGTCTCTCTCCAAGCAAGCTTAGGTGCTTGGACCTGGATGTGTACAAGACTTGAGACCTATCTGCCACAGCAAAGGCTTGCAGTCTACCACTAGGCTGAGGAATTAGGTCAAATGATTTTGCAGTAAACCCTAAGATTTGTTCAAAGTGATTTGTGTCCTTTGCTTGTACCCACCTGCCATGCTTCTGTTTCTTGAAGTGCTGCCCTCCCTGCTTCTACCCATCTCTTTCTGGATGCGTAGATGGAATGCAAGGTATGTGCCACAGCATGCACGGCATTGTAGACATTGTAACTGTGCCCAGTCATACTCATTTCAAAGAAAGTGCTTGAAAGGTTCCACAACCGTTCCTGTCCAGAGCACAATGCCTTTCCTTCCCCTTTAACATTTGGGATGCCTACTCGACAGCTGAAGGCCTGCTCCCAGAAATCCTGAACAAACATGTCTCCTTTCCTCCAGTTAGGCCTTACACTGTGAAGAAATGTTTCAAATCCAGGTGGCTGTCCAGAGTGAACAGCAAAAGATATGGCACCATGGAAATGTTGGATGTCCCACATCTTTTGGAAGGAGAGAGATTCAAAATGCCACTGGGATGTTGCAATCCACACTTTCCCCAAAGGTGGCAAACCGAAAAATGGTGCCATTGACATCATCATTCTCAAATTCTGCCAGGATGGGGGTTCTCCATGTACAAAACAAGCACTGACTTTTCTTTCCATGAGAATGGGAAAGTTTTCCACCAGATGTAGAAGCCGGCCTGTATACTCCTCTAAATAAGTCTGCTTTGGTAATTGAAATATGAAGGCATGGCAGATATCATTCTGGGAAAGCAGTGGGATCATGGTCTGCAAGAACATGTCCCCATAGTCATCGTCCACTGCCAGGAGCCCAATCCATGTCCAGCCAAAATGCTGAAGTAAGCGCACAACCCCCAGATACTGATGGGATTCCCTGGGCACCATCTGGTACAAAAAGGGGAATTGTGTTTTGTCACCATGTACTGGGGAAAAGGACCCATAAGTGAGCTGAAATTAAATGCATCAAAGTACAGATTGATTAGGAGATAATGTCTACTTCTGTCTCATGAAATTTCCAAAATTCCATGGAAATAACCTACCTGTGGGATCTTGTACATGGCAGTGGTGATGGCCATAATTTCAGTGACTTCAGTTACAAGTCCTCCAATGACCGCAGCTATTTTTTTGTGAGCACCACACCTGAAATTGGGCATAAAACTGTGGTATGTGCAAAGGATGCCCATGGAGGCCTTATATGTCATCCTCGCAAAGTAGTAGCCATTAAGAATGTGGAAGCCCAGAGTGAGGTTTGGCAGGATGTTGGGATTCTTGTTGATCTCGTCTACAGCAAAGGACAAGGCCAGGATGTGCTGGTACATCTTTGGCACAGAACTGCAATGAGAATATTTCAACTCTAATGTTTGGGTGCAAAATATGGAATGGCATACATAGTGATGGGTCCATCTTCATATATAGAATTGTTTATCTCAATCATTAGTCATTTTGACTTCTTTTTTCATCAGTGATGATTCCCATTTTCCCAAATGCACCTTCCCCACACATAATGCATATAGAGATTATCACAAAATAGATCCTACTCCAATATACCCATTCAGAGTGCGTGTTAAGAGAACACATCTCACAGAAAGTAAGTAGAAGTGAGCAAGCCAAAGGATGATAGTGGTTTCATCGTGTTTTTCTGAAAGATAATTGGATATATCCAAAGTGTGTTCCAATAATGCTCTTCCTATATGGCTTCTCTAAACAGCAACTTTGGTTTTCATATGTAATATTAATGTTTCTCCGAGTCCATCCACTTTCTCACTTTTATTAAATAGAAACTATTCTCACTGTGCTGCTTCTGTACCCAGCTTTTCCTCTGTTTCCAATCCATGCATATATAAGCTTACTCTACATCCTCAATATGGGACCTTCCCTTGAACTTCCCTCTCTGTTCCCAGACTCATCATGTTGAGTTTTATTTTCTGTATGCCTTGTGGGAAGCAATTGCTCTGCCTGTAACTAGGAGTTTCATTACACTAAATGGAAGCATTCAAGATAGTGTTGGACAGCTATATGTCAAAGATGGTTTTACTCGGACACCTTACAGGCCCCTTCCCATTCTACTGTTCTGTTATTCTACTTATCCAGGAAAGAAAAATAGGACTGGTTTACTTAAGAATGCCAAGCAATCTAAATGATCCCCATTCTGTAGAAAGAGATTGGACAATAGCTGACAGTGATTTTGTGTTCAAAGTATACTAGGAATTCCTTATGCATGCTCCATTTTAACACAGAAGATTTTCAAAGTGCATGATCTTTAACAGCATCATTCAAAGGGCAAACTCTATCTTTTAAAGGACAAGATCTCTTCTTGTTCATTCAAGAGTGCGGGACATAGAATAACGAACTTAAATTATGGGAAACCAGCTTCAGAAAAGACACCAGGAAGAATGTTCTGACTGTCAGAGTAGTTCAACAATGGAACCCATTACGTGAGGAAGTTGTGGGCTCTCCCTCACGGGAAGAATTCAAATTGTGTTTGTACAGTCGTCTAAATGGGATGGTATAACTTGGTGTCCTGCAATAGCAAGGATTTGGACCCAATGGCCTTCTGCCCATCATCCAACTCTAATATTCAAATACCATGCCAAATAGTTCACAACCCCAATGTGTTCTCAAATGAAACTTCCATATTCCAGAAAGTAAATCATGACACATTAAGGGAAAAAAATCCCTTAATCAAACAACTTTTCCACATTACTGTGACTTGTGCATATTAAAGGAAGAAAAGTGGGGGGGGGAGGAAAGGAAAAGAAGGGAAGGGGGAGGGAAGGATGGAAGGAAAGAGGGAAGGAAGGAAGGAAGGAAGGAAGGAAGGAAGGAAGGAAGGAAGGAAGGAAGTAAACTTACACAGCTTCATTGATCAACATCCGTGTGGGTTCATGTACAAAAGAGGAGTTGTTGAGAAGATAGAAAACATGAGAGACAATTGCACCTGTGACAAACATGCCTGGCTGATAAAATTGGTGAGGTGTAGGAAATGGATCTGCAGGTATAGTGCAGCTAATAGAATATGTCTCACATTTTGTTTGTAATTGCAAAACAAACATCAAAACTGCAAGAACCACAATATTCATATTAACAGTTGTCATCAGGATTAAGATTCCTGTGTAATAAAATAGGATCCATTTTATTTCATTTTTTCATGAATGGGGTGTGGTGCTGTAGATGCATAGGTAGAAAAGTGCCAAGTTTCCTTTGACAACTTCATTGCCACTTTCTCTTCCTAGATTCTTTGCAAAGATGACATTTCCTACATGTTTGCCTGGAACTCTTGCAGGAATCATTTCTGTCTTAGAAAGGACAGGAGCTGCCTCTCTGCATATCAAATATGTTTTTATGGCACTGTAAAAGTGACGAGAAGCTTGAAAGATCATATGCAAGGAGTGTGAAAACCACTAATTTGCACAGTGACATGGGAGCTGATAACATCCCCCAGAGGATCAGAGTTTCCCATGGCATGACACAAAGGAAAGCACCTGAAATAGAAATCATAATGGCCATCTTTTTCATGTTGAGGTGCACACATGAGGATGGAAGATCCCTCCTGCTTTCACAACCAGGATTTATGACATGGCCTGGAGGGATTCCCAAAACCCCTCCTGAGCCTCCCTGTACTCCTTAAATCCTTGGGATGAGTAACTTTGGTCCAAGCTTGGAAGTCCATGCAATGCCAATCAGACTCCTTACCATGCCAGACCACTGCTGTCTGAAGGAAGTGGATGCCATGTCCTCCAAGCTTCCTTGACATGCGATGCTGTATTTTGTGATCCAAATGAAAAGGGAAAACAAGGTGAATTTAGACTCTGTGGTATTATGATGTATTTATTAGGTTCTATATTGTAAGTCATCCAGAGATGAAACATAATGGACAAGTTAGAAATACCCCCTTAATAATAATAAAAAATAATTGTTCCATGAGCAAAACTCTGGCACCTTTGTTCTACCAGTGCATTGTGGCATTGCCAGGTCTCATGCACCCAATCCAGCCAAGCTATAGTGGTTGTTTCACACTATTCTGTATACAGAGGCCTCCAAACAAGAAACCCCTTTTCCAAGGATTTGAGAGAAAAAAATCTTTACATAGACCACTTGACCTAACAAATGCATATGTAGAATTTACCTTTACAATCCAGTTCTACACCTCACCAAAAATTTGTGCCAAGCATTTAGGAGTGAAAGCTTGAAGGGCAGAAGCACACATTCCTCCCCTCTGTAAATTAGGTCTGACTAGAGCTGCAGCACTACATGTCGCATTTGGTTAAGGCAAAATATGTTTTCCAAGGCTTCTCATAGGAATCTGGTTGAACCAATGAGTGAGCAACGGTGCATGTGAATGGCCTTGTACTGTGCACAAAGCATGTGCTATTGAAGGGCATTTCACTTTGGCAGAGCAGGGATGTGGGTCCCCTTGAGGTCATGGGAGGGGGTCACCCTCTATCTCACAGAAGATGTGGGTCTCTGAAATATTGTATACAATGGAAGTATGCGCCTGTTCCTAAAGCTATCACAGAGAGAGGTGCCTCCATCTCAATTTACCAACCTTGGAAGTGTGTTATGGATCAAGTGTTGTTTCTCATACCAAATCTTGTTTGCAATGCAGAAACCCTGGTCTTCCAGCATCATGAGATAAGTCAGCTGTAGAAGCACCACCACCACTTCTGTTTTTTAACACCACTTAGGGATCAAAAGAAAAAATATACCGTGATTGCTTTGTTATGTGGAGATATATATAACCCTATTTCAATGCCTCTTTTACCACTTCTGAAAAACTAGGCCAGCAGGTTTCTATCAAAGAGTCCATCCAAGGGTTAGTGTAGGAAGGAAGGGTTAGTGTAGTGTATCAATTCCCTTTGCACCAACAATGTTTGATGGAACACGCATACAGAGAATAGTGAAAAAGCCAGTCTTTTATGAATGGAGATGGAGCAGGTTTATATACTCCCTACTAAAGTCTTTCTAAAGTTAGAAAGACTTTCTCACACTCACAGTACAAAAACATAACACTATATGGAGGTGGGAATGTTGCATTCTATAGACGAAATGATTAGAAGTTCTGTTCCATAGAAGACAGTGTACTAGACAAAAGTAAACCCTTCCTAAGGCATTTTAATTGTTCTAGCCTCACTACAGGAACCTCAGCACTTACAGCTTTTCAGCAGTATAACTGGGGTCTGCACTCAGCTGAAATGCCCAATGAAGTGGTTAGAGTAGACCAGGATATAGTCCCTGGCCTAATTTTCTTCCTTTCCCATGCTTATCAGATGTCCCTTGTCATTTAGCTCAGGCCTCATTAAATTTCAACTCCAGAGAAGGAGAAAGCATATTTGTCATGATTCTCTGAGCTTACAGCAGAAAAGCATGCCTGCTTTCTTAGGAGGAAGTTCCATTGTGTTCAGTGGGTCTTATCTCCAGAATTGTGCAGAAGCCTGGAATCTT